TCTTTAGCTTTAACCAAACAATCGATCTGATGGTGGCCAACGGTTGTGAAGCGACAACCGGTCAAACGAGAACCCTCGTCTCTATTGAGGTATCTGATCACGGAATCTACCTCTTCTTCTTCGGAGTCACGATAGTCTAACATGAAATTAAGGTAACCACCTGAAAATAAACATCAAATAAAGCGGCCCATAATTATTTAATATCTGGGAAAACGTACAAATTTAGGGTTCTTACCGACGGGTTTCCAGGTTCACTCATGAATGATCAGAAGCAAACAGAAGGCAGAGCAGTGAGAGGTAGCAATTGACAGACCGATGCTTTTTCGGGTCTTCTTCTCCACCGGCATCGATGTAGTTGTTTTTTTGGGAAAATGACTTATATGTGTAACTATGGTAACTATGTTTCAAAATCGTTCAAAATATATAATTCAAGTTTTGTGTGTCCAAAAAACACAATCAAAGTAAAGCATTTGTACAAAAAACACCAACGAAATATATTCTTTGTTCAAATTTGACCTTGTGGTAACCGACAATTACCGGTAAAAAATAAGTAAAGGAAAAAAAAAACAAGAGCAAATGACTCAAAGGGGTCACTATGTTTCAAAATCGTTCAAAAAACACCATCCAAGTTTGATATGTTCAAAAAACACCATCCAAGTAAACTTTTTGTACAAAAAACACCAACAAACTATATGTTTTGTTCAAATATTACCCACCGGTAACTGGCTCTTAAAGGTTAAATGATGACTTGGCTTAACTATTATGACATGGCATAATAATTATTGACAAAACATTAAATGATATATTCCTCCTTTAAAAATCGATTTAGGGTTTCTTCATGAACGAATGACTTCTTCTTCTCCTATGATTGCTCTTCTTCTTCTAAAGTGATGATCTTGAACTTAAGTCCAAAACCCTAATTCTTGACTTAAGGCAAAAAGGGCTCATTTACCCCTGCCTCAATGGGCCTCCTTCCCCTTAAGACCCAAATCCATAAAAAGCCCAAAAAGGCATCCAAGCCCAACTACAAGGCCTTTAAGGCCCAATATGGCCCAAGAATCCCCAACATGGCCTTAAGCCGAAAAAATGACCTACTACAATCAGGTGGCCCCGAGGCCTAACTTAAAAAAGTCCATGCATATGCCCAGCATATGCTGAAGCCTCTGTGATCCGGATTTCGAGCCAGTACGCCCGGCGTACTCCTAGCGTACGCCCAACGTACTCGACTGGGGTCAAGAACTGCCAACCTTCCGAAGGCCATAACTTCTTCATTCTAAGTCTGATTTCGTCATTCTTTATATCCACGGAAGCTAATTTAGGCCAACGAAGTACATTCTTTGTCTGATGCCTAAATCGGACTTAGAATGAAGAAGTTATGGCATTCAGAAGATTGGCGGTTCTTAATCCTAGTCGAGTACGATGGGCGTACGCTAGGAGTACGCCGGGCGTACTGGCTCGAAATCCGGATCGCAGAGGCTTCAACATATGTTGGGCGTATGTATGGACTTGTTGTAACATCCCAATATTTAGGTATGAATTTAAAGCTTTATACTTATATTTCAGGGCAACTCGACGAGTTAGAAGGCTCCAACTCGTCGTGTAGAGTATTTAATGTCGTGTGTTTTTCAATGTCTACTCGATGAGTTGGAAGGCACCAACTCGACGAGATGAAGGCTGAACATGAAAACCCTAATTTTTAGGGTTTGCACCTTATTTAAAGACCTTCACTCTCATTGTTGCCTCCCTCACCGCCCCCTCAGTCCAGAGAAAACCATAATCATGCCTCCTTCCCCATTTTGAGTGTGTGTGAGCTTAAAGAGTGTTATTTGGTGCTTTTCTTGGAGGAGCTTGAAGTTGGTGGTGCAAAGTTGAAGGGAGAAGCTTTAGATCCGGAATTTTCAGTGTTGTTGCAACCATTTGGAGGTATAAAGTCGATACCTTGACCATCCCTTTGCTAGATCTCTTATTTTGAAAGTTTATGGCCATTATTAGCTTATTTTGTGACCATTCTTGGATTTGAGCATGTTATGAAGCCATGGTTTCAGATCTGGACATCTCATGGCCCCCATGGACTTAAGGTCGCCAACTTTATCAAATCTTGGCCCTCCTTCATGCTCTAAGTCCCTTAATAAGCCTTGTTTGAGTTATTTAGCCCTCTTGATGCCATGCATGGACGTAAAGCTAGCAACTTTACATGGTATCTTAGTCATAAGGGACCAGATCTATAGTTTGGGGCTTTGGTTTCGCTTATAAGTGTCTGAATGCCTTAAGACTAGGAAAACTCGACGAGTTGCCTAACCAACTCGGCGAGTTGAGTCGGGTTTTTCCGCTTTCTAGATGATGAAGAACTCGACGAGTTGCTCTGGTAACTCGTCGAGTTGTATCGAGCTTTTCATGATTTTCTGAGATATGAAGGAACTCGACGAGTCAGTAGATGCACTCGACGAGTTTGGTCAATGTGGACTGTTGACTTTGACTATTGACCTCGACTGTTGACTTTGATTTTGACCATGGTTGACCAAGTTTGACATTGAGGGTATTTTGGGTATTTCGGGATTTTGATGAGGTTAGTCACTTGGTGATTGTAGCCAGTTGAGTTGGAGCTGTGAGTTGGGATTTATATTACCGATTATGCACTACTTGTGAGGTGAGTTTTCCTCTCTATACTTAGGGGTCGAAGGCACCAAGGCCGGCCCATTGGATTGATATCCTAGTAGTTATTGATATGCTGAGTATGAGTTAGATATGCATGCTAGTTTGATATCCTAGTCTGGTAGATCTATAGGACTACCTGTGATACTATCTGATTATTTGTATGTGTATTTATCTGTTACATGTCGACATGTTGTGTGGGTTGGGTTGAGGTTGTACTGCTCCGTGCGGTATCCAACAAACCCTGGAGTATGCCGGATATGAGCTGAGGGCCATGAAGGCATGCCAAACTCATACTGAGGACTCCTAAGCATTCCAAATATGAGCTGAGGGCCGGACCGAGCATGCCAGACTCGTACTGAGAGCTAATCACAGTACTCCAGTCTGAGGGCTGAGGGAGCAAGTCATACATAAGTTGTGGGCTGGGAGCAAACTAGACTTATGATGTGGGCTCGAGAGCAAGCCAGATATGGGCTGAGGGCCAGGGAGAGCATGTTAGACTCATACTATGGGCTCACGGGTAATCCAGTCTGTAGAGCTGTGGACCCATTACATGTTGTTATTGTTATTATGTGTACTATGTGTTATGTATCATTATTTTGGGGGAACTCACTAATCTTCTGGCTTACAGTTGTGGATTTTGTTTTAGGTATCTCAGATGATCGCGGGAAGGCGAAGGCTTGATCATGCACCACCTCACATTTTATGTTATGGTTTATGGGATTACTCTGATGACAAACTATCTTGAAAACAATTTGTAATAAATGGTGGTTTTTGGATGGTTGAAAAAGTTTAAATTTTACATGAATTTTATGGATGTTACACTTGTTTAAGTTGGGCATCAGACCCACCTGATTGTAACAGGTCATTTTTTGGGCTTAAGGCCATGTTGGGAGTTCTTGGGCCATATTGGGCCTTAGAGGCCTTATAGTTGGGATTGGATGCCTTTTTGGGCTTTTTATGGATTTGGGCCTTAGGGGGAAGGAGGCCCATTAAGGCAGGGGTAAAGGAGCCCTTTTTTCCTTAAGTCAAGAATTAGGGTTTTGGATTTAAGTTTGCGATCATCACTTTAGAAGAAGAAGAGCAATCATAGGAGAAGAAGCAGTCATTCGTTCATGAAGAAACCCTAAATCGATTTTTAAATGAGGAATATATCATTTATTGTTTTGTCAATAATTATTATGCCATGTCATAATAGTTAAGCCAAGTCATCATTAAGCTTTAAGAGCCAGTTACCGGTAGGTAATATTTGAACAAAACATATAGTTTGTTGGTGTTTTTTGTACAAAAAGTTTACTTGGATGGTGTTTTTTGAACATATCAAACTTGGATGGTGTTTTTTGAACGATTTTGAAACATAGTTACCCCTTTGAGTCATTTGCTCTTGTTTTTTTCCTTTACTTATTTTTTACCGGTAATTGCCGGTTACCACAAAGTCAAATTTAAACAAAGAATGTATTTCGTTGGTGTTTTTTTGTACAAATGTTTAACTTGAATTTTTTTTTGATACATCAAACTTTAATCGTATTTTTTGAACGATTTTGAAACATAGTTACCCATATAAGTCATTTTCCCTTGTTTTTTCCCAAACAGGCTTGGACTGAATTTGGAGCAAATAGAAGAAAAAAAGAGATGAGGAGATACACAAGAAGTAGAGGAGTGGATTGGAGGGGATGCAACTGTTGGAAATCCATTGGAGGAACACGGCGGTGCAGACGTTGGTTTTAAGACACGTCTCCTATTAATGGTGGGGGGATAAAAATATTGTCAACCTAATCCGAATCCGAATGAGGTATGGATCCCAACCAGCTAAATGGATCCAACCCATCAAAACGGTTCCTACCCACAACTAAATTAAAGTGTCTATAAAACGAGAAACCATATTTACTATTCATAAAACCACTTTTACTCTTCCTAAGAACCATGACTATTAATAGAGTATATAAATCATTAAAGAATATAATATTGTTTGTCAGTTAATTTTTATATTCATTAACGATTAAATCATATTTTACATGTAGATTTATTTATTATTGTTTTTATATATTACGTTGATGATTAACTTTATTACTTGTTATTTATTGATGATTAACATAACCATGGAAGAACCGTGTATTCTCATCTCCTTCTACCTCCCATTGCAACACGAGGACTTCCCAGGGGTCACCCATCCTAGTACTACTCTCGCCCAAGCACGTTTAATTGCGGAGTTCTGATAGGATCCGATGCATTATTGCTGGTATGATCGCACCCAAAAATTGGGTTATAGATCCACCGAAGTGGGTAGCCTTAACCGGATGTGTGGTAACAGGTAAGCCCGAAGGTTGTTCCCGTCCCTGTCAGGGGAGATGCCAACCATCTCTCCTTCTATATCGAATAAAGTGGGATTAAGTATGGATGGTGAATGGACGGTCGCAAGAAGAAGCAGATGGAAATTGCTATCGAGAAAAGGAGATCGACTAGGATGGAATCACGTCGGAGTCACGACGATGTTTGTGTTGAACCTTCCTGAGGCGGCCAGAAAAGGAAATCTAAAGAATATCTTCGCTAAATACGGAGAGGTTGTTGATGTATACATGGTGACAAAGAGAGATGTCAATAAAAGATCCTTTGCATTCGTATGATTCAAGAAGAGTGGAGACGATCAGAGATTGGAGAATGCCCTTCAAGGTATTAAATTTGGAGGAAGAGTATTAGAAGTGAATATTGCAAGATTTGTCAGAAAACCTATTGGTGATCAACTGGAGAGACAATTCGATACAATCCACAAGCAAAAAAGACTTCCACAAGTTCCAATATTTAATATAAGAGACAACAGATCCTTTGCGTCGGTTGTGAAAGAAAAAAACAATTATTACAGAGCTCCTCCCCCACACCCCCCTCCCAAACAACTGTTGACCCTATCAAGATCTTTGATAATTCCCCACTCCGGGCTTGGTTGAAAGGAAATCTCACGCTGATTGGAGAACTTCACAGTTTTGATCATCTTGAAAAGGCCCCATACTCTTTCAAGAACTGTGATGGTTCTGACTGTGAAATAAAATATCTTGGTGGGTTAAATATTGGAGTGAAGTTCATGAATGAAGCTAGCAGAAATGTATTCATGAATAGGTGGACGGAATGGTTTGCTAAAGTTGAAAGTGGTGATATCGCAACTCAAAGCTCTGAAAGAATTGTCTGGATTAAAATCTCAGGTCTTCCACCAAAACTGTTGTTAGGCGTGTCAAACTCAACAAATAAAGGGGTACAATATACTCCAAAATAACACTACTATATTGCACTAAAAGGTAGTACAAGGCAAGCAGGGTCGATCCACAGAGACACGGGATAATTAGTCTATACCTCTTTGCGCAAGGTACTATTGTCACCAACAGTAAAGAGGGGGGTTTAGAATGAAATAATTAAAACAAACAATTAAAAACACAAGTAATCAACTAAAAGAGTGAATTAAATTCAGAAATGGTAAGGACTCCAACCTCATGTATGACAACTTAGCAATGTGATTCCAAGATAACATGATATTTGCTCAATTTTATCTAAGTCGGTACTTGAAAGTGTTAACAAGCTCTAACACTTCCCATTCACCACATTAATTAACCAAAACAAGCTATTTGATTAACCCTAACCTTACTAACCTAATCTAAACATGCTCTTAGAATTAGATTGAAAGATTGCATTAATCTTTATGTGAATGTTCCCAACAACACCCAATACTCCTCACAAGCTCGGGAGCGTAAGAGTGTGTGAATAAGATTTACACTAAATCCATTCAATGGAAATCAGTTTAGTGCTTGTTACTTGTTCAATATCACAAAACAATTACGGATTTTGTAAAAGAGATAACTTGAATGACCTAACCCTAATTCAAATGGCCAATAAGAATCACAATTAGAATCAAACATTCGATTAAATCAAAATCAAATTCACTAGATAGAAATTAAAAGCAAACATCAAGTCATATGATTGAAATCACAACTAAGAAGTCAAGACATGAAGTTGGAGAAACTAGGGTTCTAGCCACACATGGCTAGAACAAGATCAAAAGTTAAAAAGATGGAAATAATGTGCAATTACAACTTACAAATACTAGAAATAATGTTTCCAAATGATTACTGATCAAACCCTTGCAAAAACCTTCGAAATCCCCTCTCCAAATGTGCTCTGATATGTTGTGTCCCTCTCAAAATGGCCCTCAACCCGTAATATGAAAGATAGGAAAAACTGCCAAAAGTTGGTTTTTTGGGTCGAACACGGCCCGTGTTAAAATAGGCTAAACTGACACGACCCGTGTTCAACAGCCAACACGGCCCGTGTTGATTTGCACTAAACTGACACGGCCCGTGTTCAGCATGGTCAACAGCTCCCATTTTGGTCAACACGGCCCGTGTTGATTTTGCAGTGTAAATCCAACACGGCCCGTGTACCCCTCTGACTCCGAATCCTAACTTGATTTTTCCAACTTTTTCGTTCTTCGCCCGATCATCCCGAAATCTTCACCAATGCTTCCCGGCACCTCCCAAAGCGCATTCCAAGCTCCGGTTTACCTGAAAAAGATATGAAAGTGTGCAAATAAGGTTGTTTTAGAGACTAACATGAATATGATGAAATGCAATAAAAATGAAGAATAACTATGCTAAATAGATGCATAAAAAGGGACTAAAAGGTGTGCAAAAGGTGCACAAAATGCACCTAACAACTGTGGTCTGAGGAAAACTTCTCAACAATTGCGAAATCTATTGGTAGAGTTGTGGTTCCTTTTACGGTAGATCAATCAAATATAAATTTATCCCATGGCAAAGTTGGTATTCTAACAAGTTCGTTATCAACTGTAACATGTGAACCTCGGGTGGAAATTAACGTAAGAATCATACAGTTAAATATTTTAGAAATTGATCTAGATTGGGCTCCGTTTAAGCATCAAAATTTTTCGTCGGATGTGAGCTCCTCATCAGAAGATGAAGAGGAAGATAACAAAGTGGATGATACTGATGGATATATGTCGGATACTTTCCCATTAGAAAAAAACAGCGAAGAACTGGAGGAAGTTGAGTGTGACATCCCCATTTTTACGGCCAGAAAAGACCGATTTTGTTTATGCTTTATAAAAATCAGAGTAACTCTTTTAATAAAAATGTTGCGGAATTTGTTCCAAAAAAAAAACATGATAAATACGTTATCAAAGCATTTCCGAAGAAATGTATTTTTATTCATTTTAAAACATTTGGGATGTCATCGTCAATACAGAAACATAAGCATAAACAGAACTTACAATCATTTACACTAGTGATCTATATCTCTTTAATCTCTCAGTGTAAAGCAGCTTCGTATCGACAGCTATGATGCAAATAAGCTTGAGTGGGTCAGGTTGGGAAACCTGGTGAGTACATAGGGTTTTCAACCCACAATAATATAACTATATTATATTTAATCATCAAACAAATAACCCAATTACCCATCCCTATTATCTTCCTTATTCTTAAGGATCTACCCTAAGAATCAGCTATTCCTCGTTCATTCATTCCTAAGGAATCGGCACGAAGTCCATCGTTTCCATAGTTTACACAACGGGCACTAAGTCTGCATAGTCGCCAGGGTTTAAGCACCAAGTCTGCATGATCGCCAGGGTTTAGGCACCAAGTCTGCATGATCGCCAGGGTTTAGGCACCAAGTCTGCATAGTCGCTTGGGTTTAGAGTACACCGGGTGAACACATCGTTCACAACACCTACAGGTTGCGAGCCTGCTAGTGTTCCACTAGACTGTCTAGAATAGTCTGTGGTTGTCATCCATACTCTGCTAGATGACGGGTCCAACGCTTGGGTAAAAGGCTTCCCTCATTGTTCACTTCTCACCCTTATCTAGTGGTCTATATCACCTCTCATCTCATCATCCAACTCATAATTCATCTACCCATGTTTTACCCAACATATTTTGTAGATATAAAATACATATACAGTTTAAATCATTTAAAACATGTATAAAATCGTTCATCCATCATAGATAGCAAGTATACAGATAATATGCACACATAACACGTAATTTATATAAAATACTTCATATCTATGTGTAAGATGAAAGTAACTATGCACTCGCCTGATAAGGTGGTGACTCGGTACTCGGACAGCGCTTCGTTACTCTTAAAACAATTTTCCTTTGACAAAACCTAGTATCATTACCACTAGAGTTTAGTCTAATATTCACCGAGACTAATTAATAGTCTAGCTATTATTACTATTATATAAGCGTTAAACAATACTCTTCACCCACAATGTACAGACAGGGGCCAAACATGGAACACCGGATGGCATGATCATTTTGGCATATAGCACTTCTGAATCTAGCAACCCAAGCGACCCTCCAAACCAGATTCCCCGTACCGCGAGTGGTTAAAAAGATATTATAACGACACTTATATAACCCATAATAATAGCCCAAATAATTATTATAAGGTCCTAATAACATTACTATATTTAAATAAAAGCTATATTAAATATAGTATAGGCGTAGCTTACTTACAGTGGGTTTTTATTAAATATCGGGCTTCGCTGGAGCATGGTTTCCGAGCTGAAAGCTTTTCTTCTCGGAGCCGTCGGGCGCTTCGTGGCTTCCTTCTCGTGCTAGGGAGGTTCCCTAGACTTGGGAGGGGTTTAGGGAGGCTAGAGAGAAGTTAGAGAGAGAAAGAAAGGCTTAAGGTGTGAAGAAAATATGAAGAGTTCACCCTTTATTTATAGGGATTTTATAGTAAAATAGCCTCTAAGTTTCGTCTGTATCTTCCGCATACGAGCTCCGTTTTCTACGTTCTTTATATCCACACGTTGGTATTTACAAGTACTACAACTTTCATTTAGACCCCGTCGGCTAATTCTCCTTCTATCTCAGATTTACAAAAACTGTATCGTATTTATCGCACACGAAGAGTAGCGACTAAGCTTCGTCCATATCTTTCGCATACGAGCTCCGTTTGTGACGTTATTTATATCCACGCGTTGGTATTTACGAGTAATACAATTTTCATTTAGACCCCGTTGGATAATTCTCATTCTATCTCGGATTTACAAAACTGTATCGAATTCGCCGCGCTCGAAAAGTAGAGACTAAGCTTCGTCCATAACTTTCGCATACGAGCTTCGTTTTTGACGTTATTTATATCCACGCGTAGGTAAAAATAAAATCTACAACTTTCCTTTTTACTCCGTCGGCTAATTCTCGACCGATCTTAAATTTAACAGTAGGAGGTGATTACACTGTTAAATGTTTGCGTAAAATTCATAACTTTTACATACGGACTCCGTTTTCGTCTGTCTTTTTGTCGTTGAGTTCCTATTAATGAGATCTTCAATTCTCATTTAGGTCGCGTTGGCCAAAAACCGCTCGATCTAAAATTCAAATTTCGGGTCGTGCACTGCTATGCCAAATCTTATAAAAATCATAACTTCCTCATACGAAGTCAGATTTGGGCGTTCTTTTTATGTACACTCTCGGTTTAACGTATATTATGACTTTTGTTTAGATTGCTAAGGCTAAAAAATCTTCTATCATAAATTCACTATTTACGTCGCGTTGTGTCGTGCCGGTTTTGCCGAAAAACTTCGACGAGTCATAACTTCTTCGTTATAACTCGGATT